AGTCTCACAGGACTAGCTTCAGCAGTGCATACACTAAAATTGGAAATGGGGTCTCACTGTGTTGCCCAGGCTGGACTTGAACTCCTGGGCTCAAGGGATCCTCCCACCTCAACCTTCCAAAGTGCTGGGACTCAGGCATGAGCCACTGCACCCGGCTAAAGCACTAATGATTAATTCTCAGGCTATCACTCTGGTTGATCATTTCTTCCCTCACACGGAGGTATCCTCTAGGGACAAGGTGACTTTTTCTGCTTTGTTCTTAGCTGTTTTCAAACAACTAGAAAGGCAGGCCAGGCGTGGTGACTCACGCCTATAATCCCAGCACTTTGCAAAGCCGAGGCAGGTGGATCACAAGGTCAGGAATTCAAGACCAGCCTGGCTAACATGGTGAAACCCCATCTCTACTAAAAATACAAAAATTAGCCAGGCATGGTGGCGAGCGCCTGTAATTCCAGTTACGTGGGAGGCTGAGGCAGGAGAATCACTTGAACCCAGAAGGTGGAGGTTGCAGTGAGCCGGGATGGTACTGCTGTACTCCAGCCTGGGTGACAGAGCAAGTGAGACTCCGTCTCAAAAAAAAAGAAAAGTGCTTGGCACACAGTAAGTGCTCAATATATTTCAGAATGGAGGCTAAATTATTGAAAAAACAACAGCTCCACATTTCTCTTTTTAAAATAGAAGGAGGGGCTGGGCATGGTGGCTCATGGCTTTAAATCCCAGCTACTCAGGAGACTAAGGCGGAGGTTGCTGTTGTACAGGACCGAGCGTAGAAACTTAGCACCAAGACAAAAGTATGCCAGATTGCACGGTCATTTATTATGCCGGTGACCACAGAGGACTCACGTCTCTCCAACCTGTGCTGTCGAAAGGAGGGTGCCAAGACTTTTTATACCCGAAAAACCACTTTGGGAGTGGGGGTGAGGAGCGCGGAGGGGGATGAAAAGTTTTCGGGGCCGGGCGCGGTGGCTCAAGCCTGTAATCCCAGCACTTTGGGAGGCCGAGGCGGGTGGATCACGAGGTCAAGAGATCGAGACCATCCTNCTGAACCCAGGAGGCGGAGGTTGCGGTGAGCCGAGATCGGGCCATTGCACTCCAGCCTGGGTAACAAGAGCGAAACTCCGTCTCAAAAAAAAAAAGAAAAGGTTTCAGACATTCCAAGGGCTAGGGGATTCTGTGATTCACCTCCTAGGCGGAGACGAGGGTGGGGGTCTCCGGACATTCCAAGAGCCAAGGGATTCTGTTTGTTACTTAAGTGGTTTACAGAGGTCAAGATATGCATTTGTTTACACATTATCTGGGTAGTGATAGAAGTCACAGATCTTAGTTACTTCTTACAAGTCACAGGAGCCAGGATGGAATTAGCCTGGGCTGCTTATTTTAATTATTACCGGTAAGCAAAGACTAGAAATTCTGGCACAATATCACATTGCAATGAGCTGAGATCCCACCACTGCACTCCAGCCTGGGCAACAAGAGCAAAACTCTCTCAAAACAAACAAACAAACGAAAACCAGTGAGGACAACCAGTGATCCCTCTCATCACCATCTTGGCTTTGGTGGAATTTAGCAGGCTTCTTTACTGCAAACTGTCTTATCAGCAAGGTCTTTATGACGTGTGTTTTGTGCTGACCTTCCATCCCATCCTGTGACTTCAAATGCCCTTTTTTATTTTGTTTTGTTTCTACTGCAACCTCTGCCTCCCGAGCTCAAGCAATTCTCCTGTCTCAGCCTCCAGAGTAGCTGGGATCACAGGCATGTGCAACCACACCTGGCTAATTTTTGTATTTTCAGTAGAGATGGGTTTTCACCATGTTGGTCAGGCTGGTCTTGAACTCTCGACCTCGGGTGATCTTCAGGTGACCCACCTTCCCAAAGTGCTGGGATTACGGACGTGAGCCACCATGCCTGGCATTTTTTTTTTTTTTTTTTTTTTTATATCTTAACTGTTTGTGTTTTTTTTTTTTTTTTTTTTTTTTTTTAAGACAGAGTCTTGCTCTGTCACCCAGGCTAGAGTGCAGTGGGGCAGTCTCAGCTCACTGCAGCTTCTGCCTTCTGGGTTCAAGCGATTCTTCTACCTCAGCCTCCTGAGTAGCGCTGGACTACAGCCACGCCGGGCTAATTTTTGTATTTTTAGGAGAGACAGCGTTTCACCGTGTTGGCCAGGATGGTCTTGATCTCCTGACCTTGTGATCCACCGACCTTGTGATCCACTCGCCTTGGCCTCCCAAAGTGCTGGGATTACAGGCGTGAGGCACTGTGCCCGGTCAAAGATTTTTTTTTAAGATTCAAATGCGGTTCAGGCAGCGCAGCGCAGCTGCCCGGCCCACCCAGCTTCCCGGACCGTGGCCAACCTCGAGCGCTCGTTCTTCGCCATCAAGCCGGACGGCGTGCAGCGCCGCCTGGCGGGCGAGATCATGCAGTGCTTCGAGCAGAAGGGGTCCCGCCTCGCGGCCATGAAGTTAAACCGGACGGCGTGCAGCGCCGCCTGGCGGACGAGATCAT